GATTTCACTTTCTCTTAATCCGCTATCTTTCCCATCATCTGTTTGCTTGTTACTATAATTCGTCTATGCATTTTAATTTTTACATTAATATCACAAACATAACAAGGCAGGCTGATTATATTCAGTGGAATCTAAATTTTTAAAATCTAGCATTGACAATATCGTGAATGTTTAAAAAAATTTAATTAACTGAAGATAATAATACTCTGGGCCAGGATCAAAGCCGGGAAATACCTTCAGGTATTGGCAAAACTGTTGCAAGAATCAACATTTATTGTTATTTTATATTATATATTGAGTTGTTGTGAAACGTCAACCAGACGATTGGAATTCATTACATTAGGGATATGAGGTTTAGACTAAACAATTGCAATTATATGAGCCGCAAACCTTAATATATCTTATGACTGTTAAGAAAACATGTCCATTAATTTCATTAAAATATCACACACTTTGACCAACCTAAACGGTTCAAAGTCAGGTGGAAATCGGAAATTATCATGTAGGGTATATTGGGGCAAAGGAATGGAAGGGCTGATTGCATTAATTTTGCCATTGCTCAGGTATACTAAAACTCATTAACATATATGGGGCTAAGCCAGTTTTTATCCATTTAGGCACAAAGATGCACTGTTATAAAAAAACACGCTCTCAATTTAATTAAATAACTCCCACATTGACTGATATATCTGGTATAAAGTCAACTGGAAGTTCGAAAATCTTCATATTAGGTATATGGGGCTAAGAGAAATATTAACACAAAACAATCCATTTTTACACACAGAGTATAATACAATATTATCATTTATATACCTAAATATTTTCCCTGAATTTCAATAATATATCTCACAGATTTCCCATAAATTATCCTTGCTACTGCAATCCCCTGTATCAAATTACAGTTTCATATCGTTATTTAGTGCTTAGCTATGGCGTTTTATATGTTATCGATTAATGGCGTTTGGAAGTGTGGCAGTGGTCCGATTACGTCCACCTACAAACTCGTCCGTACTTTTTGACAAGAAACACGTGAACAAAGTTTCATTACGATATTTCAAGTTTTACTCAAGTTACAGCTTGCACGGACAGACAGAGGGACAAACGGATGAACAGACACTCACCCGGATTTCAACTCGTCTTTTCATCCTGCTCATTTATATATACATACATAACCCTATATCTAACTCGATTAGTTTTAGGTGACACAAAGAACCGCTAGGTGAACAAAACTATTATACTTTGTAGCAACATGTTGCAAGAGTATAAAAATATAAGTTAACACCTAAAGAAAATAGTTTTTTGGAGAATAGTACTTATTAAAAAGTAAAGAAGGGCTAAAACTATGCTAAAACTATTGAGAAAGAATTCAATATTCATTGTTCGATGAAAGGGTGAAAGGAAAGTCGTAGACTCACTTAGTTTCATTACTACATTTTGCATGTCCGTAATATTAAGATCAACCTAATTAACTCAAATGAGTTAGGTTAGGAGGTCAATCCTAACAGGGATCTCACTTGGACAGCTTAGAACGCTGTCCGTTGTGGTACTAAGAACTCCTATATACTGGATCATACGAACTCCTATATACTTTGAGCATATCACTAATTTGTTGAGACGGCTAACGTCAGTTTCGGCTATGTCTTTTAGTTTACTGAAGGTAAGACTACCAAGATGTTAAAGCCTCAGTCGTGCAAAGGCTGGACAATAGAGGAAAAACTGCTTAGATGTTTCCACCTCACCCTCCTACATACAACTTTGACAACTAGCGTCCGTCAAGATTTTTAGCTTTACCGCATGGATGCCTACTGTTCAGTGTCCTGTAGGAACTCCTACGATTGCAGCAAGATGAGCTTTGCTCAAGGCAAGTAGTTCAGTGGATCTCCTACATTTTACTCCAGACCAAAATGGTATCGCAGTCGCACAGCAGCTGGTCTTTGACCAGCGCCCGCCATGTCCATTTTCAATGCTAGAACTCAAGAAGTCAATGGAGATCCAACTCGGTTCGTTCCGATGTGAGCGACGCACGCGTGCCCCTCTAGCTAGCTAATCGGCTTTGCAGTTGCCAGCAATTCAACTGTGGCCAAGTACCCAAACGAGTCTAATGATGAAGTAGCTTGTTGCTATTTCAAGTGAGGATAGAGCTAGTATTGCCGCTCTGCTGTCAAAGTGAATGCGTATGCCAGCTTGATAGCAGCCAGTTCTGCCGGAAAACACTACAGTGATCCGTAGCCAATGCTAAGTTTGACGGAGAGCTCTTTACATAAAACTCCCCCTCCAACCCTTCTAGGTTCGACCCGTCCGTGAAAAGGTCCTCTACGCCTCTTCTCCAGCGACTCTCCACATCTCTACATGTCTCTCGTCGGCATATTAGCAGAGAAGAAGCTGCCACGAGTGGCCTCATCGACGTAGAGATCCATTGTTCAGGGATGCAGTTGAAGGAGGAAAGAATTTCGCCGTGTCCTGTTCGGAACCCTTAATATACTCGCTTCCCTGAGCCTTAGAGCACACTACGCTGCAATAACCTACCGGCAATGGTTGCTATGTTTAAAATGGGATTAAGTGCTATGGTTGGTGTAGTCCGTAGAGCACCGGAGGTGCCGATGAGAGCCGCTCTTTGGATACGCTCACGCTTTTTAGCAAGTATAGCTTTTTCGAGCGGCCTTCACCAGACGAATACACCTAGCATATTATTGGCTTGACAACGGAGCAAAAAACTACCTTTGGTTAGAGTCCCCACCTTTATCTATAGCTCCCCTACAGCAATATAAGGTAACCGATGCGATTCTACTCTCTCTTCAATTTGGCCTCCAAGAAAGCTTCTATCAAGGATAAGCCCTAGATTTTCAACAGGTTGAAGACGTGAAGAGGCACTTTTGGGATCTTATATCTCCTAGTAAATAAAACAATTTCAGTTTCACTTAGGTTGACGGTTAGGCCGCTTCGTCCAGTTGGATACCACGTTACCCTTCAGTTAGCTCGTAGACGTATTTAGGAATTTTCTCTTTACCATAGGAACCACATCGTTAACGTAGGCTACCGCCCGACAGCCTCGTTTCTCGAGTTCTTTCACTGGGTCGTTAACCACCAAGATCCAGAGCAGTGGGAAAGTACCCTACCCGTGGTGTTCCTCTATTAACCTTTCGGGATGCCTTAGCAATTCCATATGAGATATACAAGTATATGATTTAACACAATCAAAGCTTAATTTAATAGACCCCATGAGGAAAACATCAACTAAAGTATGGGGACTCCCAATTTTATTCTGTGTGTGTCTATGTGGTATATGAGAGCTAGTGTAATTCGTGGTTCGATATCGCACATTTTCGTCATTGAACTATAGTATATCAATATCATACTTTTACTTAATTAAACTAGAATTCAATGATATGACAAGAATTTATTTTCTTAAACACAATGTGCATAAGTGCTAAATATAAATGAAATCGAGCTAGACCGTGATTGAAGTCCCTTATCCGTAATATATTTAATTTATACTCTTCGGTTAAGCTTATATCATACAAGTATATTATCTCATTTTATTAGGTTGATTTTAAAATAAATAAATCGGACACAATGTAGAAACTAATAAGTGAGTCTACGACATAAGTTAATGAGATGCCATACCTGATTGTACTCCATATGGTTTTGATTGTTGAATTATTATGTAACTTTTTATACTTTCGCAACCTGTTGAAAAGACGAGTTGAAATCCGGGTGACTGTCTGTCCGTCTGTCCGTCCGTCTGTGCAAGCTGTAACTTGAGTAAAATTGAGATATCGTTATGAAACTTGCTACACATGTTCTTGGTACCGTAAGACTCTGGGTATTGCAGATGGGTCGGATCACTGCCAAGCCACAAAACGCCTTTAATTAAAATGAAATAAATTTCCATAACTAAGCTCCACAATAACATAAAAGACTGCTATTTAGTATACATTATTACAACATGGAGGGGCATCTGCAGTTCAAATTTTGTTAAAAAGTTGTCACCCAATTTCAACCATTTTCACACTGTCGATAGAGATGCTAAAAGCAATTGTTTCCAGTAAAGTTTGTTATTATAGCTTCAGTGGTATAGAAGAGACCTGGATTTTGATCGATCAGTTTGAATTACATCTCTATTCTGTTGTGGTCCGAGATATATGTAGGTGACCGACAATCGGTAGATTCTTTAAGAAAAACGTGTGCAAAATTTTAGAATGCTATGGCAAAACTGAGAGACTAAATTGACTCACCTTGTCACGCAGATCATTTACATATACTCTACTCGTAATGGTATCAGACGTTTTTGGGTTTTACAAACTTCATTCCAAACTTAATACACATGTGTATGCCCTGTGCAGGGTATAATAAGAACTGTTATACTCAAATATATTTAATGAGGGTTTGGACAAATGTAACAACCACATCACTATCATTTGCTAATAAACAATAGCATTTCAGCTAATACATACCACTTAAGAGACCACTACCTTCTACATAGCAATAAAAGCTCTGGTACAATTATGAATGTCATATCTTTCTAAACGTTATCCGGCCCCTCTAATTTTCTACACTTTGCACGCAAGCAGTTGCACTGTTTCTGAGGCCTTGAAATAAAGTCATTTCTTCTCTGCGTATTCATTTCGTAGCTGAACGTGTGTGTGTGCAAATATAATAAATGCATATGTGTGCGTGTCCAAGAAGTTGAGCCAATTAAGCGTTTAAAATGGGAAATCTTTCCGATCCACTCAAGAGGAAAATTACACTGCAGGGAGCAGAAGAATTAGTGCTCGTAAAAACGGAGTAAACGTCGGTTGCCGCTTGATATGGTTTGGGTGATTGGAAGGTTGACCAAAGCCTTTCATTTCCATTTCACTTTTCTTTGCGGTATAATTTCGAGTGGAGAATTGTAGCAGGTAATTACGTAGACTTTCGTTTTGTTTGAACGTTTCTTTATGCGGCCATACAGCGTTCCGGTGAAATAGGATTGCAGTTGGAAAGTTTCTATAAAATCTAGAGTAAGGCTTTACAAGCGGTTTAGTTTCAAATTGTAACAAATTTGCAGCAGTTCTACTGGCAAAACGGTTTCGGTCGCATTGAATTTTAAACAAAACTTCTGTCTTCCTTAAGTTAGTACATAACACACTCGTAATGTGGATGCTTAATTACTTGTCCTGCGTCTTAATAATTGTCACACTTTATTGTGCACGCGCCACAATCGCTACATTAGCAGCCGAAGGTAGGGATAATGCCACACCCGGTACGAAAGGTTTTCTACCAACGCCAACTCGTGAGAATATCGAAAGCCCCTCGCGTCCTATCGGCACTGTTTATAAAGCGGAAGACTGCCTGACCAATTCATTAAACTCGGATTCAATTTATTGTCGCGGGTCTCGGGCCATTCGCAACGTAATTAAGAATTTAAATCGACGCGATAAACCATTGGTGTTGATGCGTGGCCTAGAAATTGTACCAATTGAGCCAGTGTTAAACGATATACCCGCGGAGCCTGCTTTGGAGAATGATGACACCTTCTTGGGCTATGTCTCAGAGTATTTGCGCAGTCATGAATTGAATATTAAATTTGCTGATTTACTGGCCGATGAAAGTGAACGTTATTTGGCGTACGATGTGGAACGAAACGCTCAAGGGGACGGTATTCAAGGTGGGTGTTAAACTATAAAAAGTGTTCAATAAAGCACAGTCAACATTTGTCACGCTGAAGATTTGAAATACGCAAAAGCCAAATAATGAAAACCTGAAATATATCGAGACCTAAAGTTATCCCACTATTTATAGTTGTTAAATCAAGAATTCTTAGTTCTATTTCCTCAAACTAAAAAAAGTTCAAGAAAATGGAATGTAATTGGGCTAATGAGGATCATGTATCTAGAAAATCACATCTGGTATGATTCGCAAGTCCATCAAGTCAACCTATTACGCTTTTATCACACAATAAGCTGTCATATTGAATAGGCTAACTATAGAAATTCTAGAATTCTGGTTGAAAATTCGATTTTTTCTTCGAAACAGCCTTTGCGTATTTCTTTGCAGTGATCATCTTCTCCGGAATTGAGAATAGAAATAAAATGTTGTAGGTTAAGTTCGGAGAACACGTTGGATACGGAAGCAATTTGAAGAATTTACCTTTAATATGTTCGTCCTTTGTTTTAAATATTTACTGAGTCATCTTCGGGGATCGTATGGTCTTGACGGGATTCAGCAAGCCACTTCGTTTGTCGCAGAGTACAATAACCCTTATCAAACCATTTTCTGATATCACCAGTATTTTTTCACCAAAAAACCAAACTGAGTATAAATAAAGTAACAGCTGTCACAAAGGCCAATTCTGAAAAAAGTATTGCGTCATTGAAAACCACACGTCTGAAAAAACACCCGTTAGATAGATGTAATAGCAGAAATGTAAGACAACCGTTAAAAGCATCAATATTCTTTGCAACTTGAAATAATTACAGATTTTATCACTTACTAATGTGCACAACCTAAATATCTGTAGATATCTATATGAGTGTTATCAAAATAGGTAAATCAAAGTGTCCTTAGTTTATTCCATATTTTACGAGTGCTTTTTATTTTGGTACCGTTATACTTGGTTATATAATTTCACAGCTTAGTTAAAATATTGGACTTGCTTTATAATTTTCATAATGATTTTATGTACTTAAATATACAGAAGCGCGTAAGAAAGACAAAGGACAAGGGATGATCCTGGCCATGGCACTGATGTTTGGCAAAATGATGGCAGTCATGAGCCTGGGCGGCATTGGAGCAATGGCTATGAAGGCGCTCGGTGTGGCAATGACTGCTCTCATGATGGCCGGTATTGTGGGTATAAAATCTCTAATGCATGGTGGTCATGAAAGCAGTCACAGTGTACAGTATCTCAGTGGTGATGGTCATCATCATATGCGTCGTCGACGTAGCAGTTATGATCCGTTACGACTGCCCTATCGTGGCTGGCAGCAAAAGCAAGCTGAGTTAATATAGATTCAAACGAATAAATATATTTTAAGTTATTAAAAAATATATATTAGCTAGTTGTTAATTATTTATTTTATATGTATAAATGACAGAACACTTACTAATTAATACTTATTTCTGACCAGTAGAAGGCAAATTCAATAAAGTAGTTGAAAAAACCTATGAAATTGAATGTGCCGATTTTTCTATCAAAGCATAAAAAGATCATACTACTAGCCATGAGTTATGCTCTAAGCACTATTTTTAATTTATATTTTAGAGATTAGGAATAATGACTAAAATGTGTTAATGCAGTTATCAAGCCACTCCGAGGAATACAGACGTTTATGGTAGTACTATAATATTTAAGAAGGGTCGCTCGAGTATCGCAAAAACATGGATAACGTTATATGCATCCCAAGAGCCTATTAACCTTTAAGTTAGCATGTTCTTTTCACAAAATCCCTCGGATATTCTATATGTAGTGCCGAGGAACGAGCGTTAATTAGATTTAGCTTAGAGTGGTACCACTGACAATCAGTTTAGTAGTTATGAGATCACTTGGCGCCGGTAATAATTCATTTTGCGGTCTTTCATAGGTTTCATTACACCTCATGCTTGTTAGTCAATATTCGTAATGCATTACGGCAGTTTTGCATTTTTAATTCACCACAAGATTAATGGCATATTTCTTTATTTATGTTTGATGCATCCAATTAGTTTTTTACTTCTTACACTTTGCATTCTTTCGCTGACATTGATGACACTCGTATTACCTACTAGGTAATCCTCAGGTATTCACCAGCCACTTACCTTCGTACCTTGGGTATTACTGTTTAACTGCTATGTTGTTGTTATTTTATGTTTGTTGCGTTCGAACAGATTGCGGATAATTTTTTCTCCCTTGCCCAGAAGACCTTCAAGACGTTCGATTCACGATGTGTATTATGTGTGCGTACCTATAATTTTTTTGTGTCACACTACAGCATACCCGGTTGCTGCTGCGTTACTTCACCTCTTCTCAACCTCTTTAGCTTGTCTCCGGCTTGGTGGATACCACAGCGCATGGTTTTACGTTTTAAAAGAAATCGGTGAAAGTTTTCTTGTTCGCATTTTCTATTACGCTGCGCTTCTGTTACTTGTTTTTTTTTTATTTATAAGATATTTTTGGTATTTCTACCAACGTTCTTTTTGTTCTGTTTTTAATCTTTTAATGTTGACATTTTTTCCGAAGATTTTTGTGTAATTTGTTGATTTGGGTTTCTCTTTGCACGTCTTCGTTGTATTTTTTTTTTTGATTTTTATTTATCTATTATATTCGTTATTGTTATTGTCCATATTTAAAATGGTTTAAAAATTTCTTTTTTTTCTCGTCTTCTATATACAATACTATATAAAATTAGTTACTTTTCTTTTCATTAAATAATCAAAAAGCTCGCTAAAACTTAGCATAATTTAATATAAATTTACTTTCACTCTTAATAAAATAATTATATAGCGGGAATACAACGAAGCTTGATCAGAAGAAAAAATTCAGTAAAGTAGTGTTAGAGTATATGTGATTTTTCAAAGCTTTCCAAAACCGTAATTGAATAAAAGTTCCAACAAAAGACAGTAATATGAATATAAAAAAGAATATTCATGAGTACAAGATCATATAGACATACAAAGTTCTCTTTACTTTGTGCAGTAATTTATCACGTTTTTTTATACATATATGAAACCGTTTGCACCCGTTTCCTATTATAGCAGTAAACAATCTGGTCTACAGCGATTATTCATTGGACTTGTATGTATACGGGGAATATTTCTCAAATGTTGAGTTAAAGCATTATTATATCCTGAAAAGAGTATATTAAGTTATTAAAATATAAATAAGGGATCGGCGTGACAAGCTGCGAGTTGATTTAGCCGTCTGTTCTGTATATATGAGAAGTTTTTTAGATATCACTCTGAAATTTTTTTTTTTCATTAGTCGGATCTGGCGTTTTCGGACCCCTATGTGTATAGCTGCCATACAAACTGAGCGATAAAAATTAAGTTCTTGTATGAAAAACTTCTTTATTTGTGAAGGGTATTCTAACTTGGGTGCAGCCGAAGTAAACATTTTTTCTTGCCTTCGTTTGATGTGAAGTAATTAAAACTATTTGTTAAACTATATCAAAGTGATGTTTGCACAATGCATCTTTAATTGTACAAATACTATATGAACGCAAAATTCCTGTTATGACAACATTTATTTATTTATTTTTTATTTTTTAATTGTAGTATTTTCCTTCCATAAAAATGATTGCCTTTTTAGTGTTTTTTTATTCAACACTATACACAAACATCGTAAAAAATTAAATACGAGTAATTATTCGTGAATACCAGTATGTATATGTATATGTGTTGGTTTTTATTAGTGTTATGTTAAGAGATGGCTTGGTGAATTTTGTAGACTTGTATTTGCATAAACATTTTTATTAACACTAGGGTTATTACTATCAAATTATTATTGTTTAATAGTAGACTATGTTAAACTCTCACAGCAAAACAAAGCTGCCCATTGCAATAAAGACACGCAAATACATACATACGATTGCACCGTCAATAGATAAGTTAAAACTTGACTGACGGATACCGTTTAGACCAACACCCAATGCTAATTCGCCAAATGTTAATTAAAGAAAATCGTTTCGTTGCACAATCTATTGACATCCGTTAAGCGTGAAGATGAGTCACAGTGGAACAAAAGTGCATTTCACTTATTACAAGTGTAATAAAATAGACGACGATTTCAACAAGAAGTAACCGTATTATTGAATCGGAAGTAAAGGATAAGTGATGTTTTGGGTCGATTAATAAAAAGCTGATTTAACACTTTTTTACTTGTCTCGCGAAACGATTGAGAGCACCGCTTAACTTACCTCTGGGATTACAGCCTTTTAGCAAGTTTGGTTAAAGTAGCTTTGGTGAGATATGCTCATTAAATCCATTAGAAGGCTGCTCTGCGCCTACTTTTTAAAAGTATTCAGACCACAAATGCCCTTACCACTGCGTCTCCTTTTACCAAATGACGGTTTTGTATCTTAATTTGGAGCTTATGTGGTTATAGCACTTTGTAGGTTTTCGATTAATGCCGTTTCGTGGGCGTGTAATAATCCGAGTTCGCCCATCTGCAATATCAACGTCCTTTGGGTGAGAAAAAACACGTGTACCAATTTTTACTAAAGTTATCACTTGAACGAACGGATTGATGGATAGACGGTTACCTCGATTAATTTTTGGCGTTAAAAGCAACCGTTAATAAAATTATAATACTCTGTAGCAACATGTTACAAGTGAAAAAAACAGCTGGGACGGAAGAAAATGTATCCACATTTTGTGCGAACTTTAACCACTGTGCAAGCGCATGCATACATAGCAAGCTGGTGTAACGAGCGTTGCCGATAACAGCATCACAAACACTAATTTCTGGCCATAACTTTCCCTTTCTCAGAAAACAGTAATGCACGGCAGAAACATACAAATAATCGTACGTGAGCAAACATACGTACATATTTGTTTTCCCTTTCCAAACGATTTCAACACTTTTTTCAATGGTTTATTTTATGTATACATTTAACTTAAGACGTTACTCCATAGTGGGAGAGGTCCATACCATATAGTACCTCAAATTTTATGTAATACCGGCAACATTTTATGCTTTTTTGATTGATTTGCTACCAACATGGCGGAGAGTGAGGCAATAGGTTGAAGGTGGAAGGTGATTTGATTTTATTTGTGTATGCATTCGTAAGTACATATATACATATGTGTATACATATATGAATGTATGTTTATGTAAGTCTGTGTTAGAGTGTTTCTATCACAGCCCAGTCTCGATTTCGATGACGGCATTGTTGATGAAATTTTGTAGTATAGTACAGTTAGAAGGTTATCAGCTGACAATTGCACATACATATGTACTAAATTTGGCTACTGCCCATTGTTATCTCAAATTAATAGGAATAATGTTGTAAAATTCACTTCTATTTATTTGGTGCTAATGTGAGCAGTCGATTTACTATTAGTCATGCAAACTATTATTGACTTTCCAGTGAATATAGGCTTTCTTCTGTAATTGCCCATTATGCTTGTTATATAACTATATTTGATTTGCCCATAAAGAGAATGAGATTATTGCATTTAAACACTTAATCTGCGTGAATCACAAAACTAATTTATCGAAATGTTACACACACATTAACTATTGATCACCTTGCTATTTCGAACTTAGCTATTATTATTGAGCATACCCAAGTGTGGGTATAGGGCACACATTAATGCGTTGAGAAATTTCACTTTTCATCGAAATCACGCACCGTTACGCCTTGTTGACTCAGTCAATTGATCTGCCCGCTCAATTCAGATGCAAATTGATAATTAACCCAAATTCCTGAAATATTTCAGCTTCGCTTGCTGGCATATTTACAAGTAGGTATGTAAATTTTTGTTAAAGTTGTCATGAAATTTTTCATATTAATCTCTAGTGGCAGCAAAAGTAACAACGAGTTTGACCGAAGTGTGAAAAATAATTATTTAGTTAAATACTTAATTGTTTATATATTTCCGGTTTACAAGAGATCAAATCATGTTTTAAATTTCTAATATTTTTCTATAAAATATTAAGGAAGATAGGACTTCGACATAAAATCGAAACGAATCGTAATTTTCAATTAAAAATGAGCATGTCAACATATCCGATTTTTTTTTTAATTCATTATATTATATTTGTTGAAATCTCTACTTTGTAATGTCATAAAACATATGCAAAAAAGAAGAACCCACTAAACAGCTGCTATTACTAAATAATAGATAGATGAAACGAAAATCAGTTTTTAATCGTTTCTGGTTATACAATATATCTTCGTTGACAATTTCTGTTAAAATTTCAGTAAAATATCAAAGTTATGTTGGGCCGCGTGGAGAAGCGGCATTGTCCTTGGATCTTAAAAAAATTAAGAAGAATATAATCCGGTTATTATATTCGTGATTTTGAAATTGCGGAGTAAACTCAAAGAGCGTTTGAATAAAATTTACATAGATTCTTCAATATCGACCGTAAAAATTGGCTTACGAGTTTCAACATGGCCGGATATCAATTTATGATGAGTCACCCAGGGTATTCCAAAAACGACTACCACAGAAGATAAC